TGATCCCTATTGTTTAGGAGCGTATTTATAGTATACCTGGGCCTTTAATTAAGAAGAAGTCGAAAATGTAAAGTTGACGACGACGGACGACGACCGGCGGCGGACGGACAATCAGTAATAGTATAAGCTCCGCTCGACTTCGTCGACAGCGGAGCTAAAAATGGAAGAGATAAATCTAAATATTATACCGAACCTCTCTACTTCAGCCCAGAAAGCCAGGTCACTTTCTAGTCTCTCAACGCTAATGATTTTGTGACTGATCACTTTTCTGCTGGTATTTCCCGTGATCCTTTGTTCTATAATAATAAATAATGTACAAATATGTAATAATTTGATGGTTTTTTTTTTACATAATAATACATTGATGTATTCTATTGTTACCCAGATCAACGCGTCCAAGTACATACGTAATTGAAAGCAAGACTCCATAAGAATTACGAAAACCATAGACCATAAAAGTGAATATTTATTTTTAAGGTCTATGCAAAAACAAAGGACATCGTTTGGAGAGGGGTATACTTACTTTCCAAGTCAGCTGCTATTTCGTCTTTTAAAAATTGTTTGAAGAGGTTCAGGGTGGCTGGCGTCATGAGGCCTCGGCGGAAACTGATCACATTTTGGATGAACATAGCCCAGAAGGCTTTCTGTGAACAAGAGGATACAATTGTCAATACAGTGTTAACCAATCAGAACACATTATGAACGCACGTGACACTAGCCCGACGTGGTGGGCGATAGTTATTGCGCCCGAGTCCCTGACAGATTTACTCGGAAACAAATGTCTCCAAATTGGGCATTCGGTGCACCATACTTATATGGATTATTTTGTTTACGATTAATAAGAGAAACTTAAAAAAAGAACTTACCGTTTTTTCGCGACAGAATTTTTTGTCTGGGGCAGCCGATACCTCCTGATGCCTGGCATCCTGTTCTATTCCATCACTTGGAAATGTGTCAAAATATCTCTGGAACCTAAAGTCAAGGTTAAATGTTAATTGTGAGATTGATACAAGAGTGAAAAAAAAGAGATTTGATTCTGTTCAAAACATGCAGTGATGCGATTTTTTTCAATAAACGTCAAAAGTTGAGCTGCGCATGCGTAAACAAGATATTGCGTCATCAACGGCAGACCCATTTCCTCTTTTTTTGTTTCAGGTAAAAGAAGCTTACCAGCGCGGCTTTTTGGACAGACGTGCGCGCCGACTACAAACAGATTTAATTTTTGTTTTGGCTTTATCATATATAGTACCTTGTATTGCCCGGCCTCGTAACGCTACGGGAAGTGCGCCCTCATATCAGCTTTCATCATTCAAAACAACACGCGTCATTTTTAAATTACGTCGTATGTTTGAGTTCACACAGTGATAAAATTGTAATTATAACTATAAGGTATATGATAAAACCGTTATGGACTTTATGCATATTATGGGACGTTAAGCGGCTGATTAAGTAAAACGATAAACGCTCAAGTTCTTACCATTGTTCGTCCATACTTTTCACGATACAAGCCTGTGCAGAAAGCAACATTGGCGGCGTCACATTGGTCATTTTTGGAATTTCTCCAATAACTTCGGCTCTACATTCTAACGCTGCACCTATCAAATGGAAGGATGTTAAACACGACAAATTACGACAAAATAATGAAGATAGAATGATAGATACCAAGCCAGTGAGAGTGACAATATTCCGCCATGCACGATATTCCGTGATAATATCTCCATGTACAGCACAGCATGCGAAGTATAATAGACTACTTGGACTATTAACGACAATATTGCCATGGTAATGCTGATTTCCTTGTAATTACCTGATCCTGTCGCTTTGCTGAAGAATTTCCTGGCAATGGCGGTTGCTTTTTTGGACCTCGTCTTGGCATCTTTGCACTGTTTCATAGTCTCTACAGCCTGCCAGAATAACAGCGGTGTTTCCGACTTCTCTTTCATTAAGAACTGCTTAAAGTATTCCAAATGATCGGATGCACGAAGAACCTCGTAGAAATTTCTGAAAGACATCAACAAAAGTATAACGATATGATTAGTGTGCTCGCAAACATGACGGCCCAATTGCAAGTTCGGCCGGTGCCTCATCGTCCGCCTGCACGGTGTTGTTCCGTTCGGACATTCCTCTCTCTACAACACCGTGCGGTAATACCATTCATAATCGTGTATGTCACGTGGTTGCGCGATAGAAAGTTTACCGACCAATAGAAAGCTTTGTTACAAAGACTGCCAGAAAACGCTCGGAGCTCTGCATTTCTGATATTTTCGGCTTCATTACTGCCAATATGTGTTGCAGTGATATCACGAGCTTTGGGGTATAACACCTACTCTTCTATAATAGTCAACAGTGGTGACAACACTATTACCACTATTATTAAGTA